TAAAAAATCCTACTACTTCGGTTAACTTTGAACCGAGGCAAAATCCTATCATGTTATGCCTCGCTTGAATATGTCTCGGTTCAGGAACCACTGCCTATGGACGAAAATAACCGTTGTCGTTTTCCCTTACTGCACTAGTGTCATATTCATAGTTGACCTACCTGTGCAAAAAATTTGCTTGAAGTACCCACTTATTTTGCCCTTGCTACCATTGTTGTTTCTGCACCATGAGTTTTACTAATTATGGTTCCTTGGCCATGAAATTGTATATGAATGGCATAATAGTTGGTTCCACATCATTTTTAAGTTAAAAAAAAGATGACAAATATAATAGTCACTCCAAAATGAGTGTCATATTCATAGTTGACCTGCCTGTGCAAAACTTTTGTCAGAAGTACCCACTTAATTTTTCTTTGCTCCCATTGTTGTTTGTACACTATGAATTTTACTAGATATGGTTCCTTCGTCATGGAATTGTATATGAATGACATAATAATTGATTCCACATCACTTTAAGTTCAAAAAATGATGAGAAATAAATTAGCCACTCTAAAATGACTGTAATATTCATAGTTGACCTGTCTGTGCAAAACCTTTGCCTAAGTGTCCACTTATTTTGCCTTTGCTACCATTGTTGTTTCGACACCATGAATTTTACTAGATATGGTTCCTTCACCATAGAATTGTATATGAATGGCATAATAATTGATTCCACATCACTTTAAGTTCAAAAAATGATGAGAAATAAATTAGGNCTAGATATGGTTCCTTCACCATAGAATTGTATATGAATGGCATAATAATTGATTCCACATCACTTTAAGTTCAAAAAATGATGAGAAATAAATTAGGCACTCCAAAATGACTGCAATATTCATAGTTGACCTGCCTGTGCAAAACTTTTGCGTGAAGTGTCCACTTATTTTGCCTTTGCTACCATTGTTGTTTCTGCACCATGAATGTTACTAGATATGGTTCCTTGGCCATGAAATTGTATATGAATGGCCTAATAATTGGTTCCACAACACTTTTAAGTTCAAAAAATAATGAGAAATAAATTAGGCACTCCAAAATGATTGTAATATTCATAGTTGACCTGCCTGTGCAAAACCTTTGCCTGAAGTACCCATTTATTTTGCCTTTGCTACCAATGTTGTTTCTGCACCATGAATTTTACTAGATATGGTTCTTTCGCCTTGAAATTGTATATGAATGACACAATAATTGATTCAACATCACTTTACGTTCCAAAAATGATGAGAAATAAATTAGGCACTCCAAAATAACTATAATATTCATAGTTGACCTGCCTATGCAAAACCTTTGCCTGAAGTACCCACTTATTTTGCCTTTGCTACAATTGTTGTTTATGCACCATAAATTTTACTAGATATGGTTCCTTGACCATGGAATTGTATATGAATGGAATAATAATTGGTTCCACAACACTTTTAAGTTAAAAAAATGATGAGAAATAAATTAGACACTCCAAAATGAGTGTCATCTTCCTAGTTGACTTGCATGTGAAAAGCCTTTGCCTGAATTAACCACTTATTTTGCCTTTGCTATCATTGGATTTTGTTATACTTTTCCTTCCACAATTTAAGGATTAACTGCAATACTTTAAATGATTTTGTCATCAGAAATAATAATTGTGTTTCATTAATGTGACATTATAATTTAATATTACATTAAAATATTGAAGGACTTAACAACGATACTAAATAAAGAAAATTTTCATTGATATGGGAAGTTTGTATTTAGACATTAGTCTTTCTTTGCTTCTTAACTTGGAACAATGGATGAGTTACAAAGTTTAGAAAGTTAACGTTGGCATGAGGGATTGACAAGCTTCCTTAGTATGTCCTCTATTTTGTTGTCTTCAATGGAGTTTGGTGGAATGACCAATATGGACGAAGTGTTTATTCGGTTTGTTGGCGTTGCATACAAGCCTTTTAGAAATGCATTGAGCTCAATTTGTTTCAAATGAAGGACGTCCGATGGATCCAATTGGGAATGTTGAAACCAAAGGAAGGTAAGGTGGATGAAAATGATGTTCAACATAAACAATGTCCGATAAGACCAAACAAAGCACAATTGTATTTTGTGGTGAACAATTCAATTACATGGACTTAAAATTGATTGGTATCAATGATGGTTTTAAATAGCACATTAAAAACGTTAATGAAAACACACCGGCTAATTACTTGGGAGACCCTTGGCGAGTTCAATCATATATGGATGTTGTTGGTTCTGCTTAATAGCATCTTACGGTTTGCTACCAGATTCTTTTGCTGCTTGTGCTCTCTTGCGTTTGATCTTCTCTCGCCTGAAAACAATAAATCTAATTATTTTGGGTATTTTCAACTATGCCCTTTACTCAATATTTTACTCATTACTCTTTCCACAGAATTCCAAATGAGATGATTCTTGTTTTTTTGAAATATAGACTCAAAGATCTTTCTTTGAACACCAGACTCGTAACTTTTAGACAATAGAGTCAACTGCAGTACAAATTTTAAGATCAACATTTTAATTACGTTTTTCAGTATTTTCAGCTATGACCTTTACTCACTATTTTACTCATTACTCTCTTCACAGAATTTCAAATGAGATGATTCTTGTTTTGTTGGAATCTAGACTCAAAGATCTTTCTTTGGACACCATACTCATAACTTTTAGATCACAGAGTTAGCTGCAGTAAAAATTTTAAGATCAGCATTTTAATCACGTTTTTCTGTATTTTCAGATATGACCTTTGATGATTGATTTGCTTATAACTCTCTCCACATAACTCCAAATGAGTTAATTCTTTTTGGGTTGGACAGTAGACTCAAAGATCTCTCTAATGACTATAAATTCATAAATTTTAAAGCATTGAGCTAATTATGGTTAATTTTTCAAATTTTCGTAATTGTGCACAAAATTTCTAGACTCACGAAAATTTTAAATCTGAATTGTGCCTTTATTTTGGTTTTACACATTAAATTGAAATAAGGAGCTGGACAGTAGCTTGTGAAAATTTCCACCAAAAGTATGGTCAAACACCATAAGGCAAGTTGTATTAACTAGACCAATAATACCATGGCCCATATCACCAAACACTTCTAAAGTTATGCAATATCAAATGGTGTACGACCCCATGCTTATTTATCATTTACTCACGGTCTTATGGCATTTAGAAGAGATTTGAATCTCAAACTTATCATTTATCAGTAAGGAACCAGAATTCCACCAATTCCAAAACATCATCCAAGAGTTTAGAGAAAACATATAGCACAAATTTGCGTACAAGTCTTCTATTCTTTCCAAACTCAGACTTACAAGGTATTTATTTGGTCAATCATCTAGTTCACTCTTACAAACCAAAAAAAATCATACTTTCCTCACAAAAACCACATCAACCACTATATGTTCTAGAAAACTTTATGCCACACTAAACCATACCACCAAATAACACAACAAACTCATAAATGCCCAAACAAATTTAAACAAACTAAGCCAACCAAACACAAAAAAATGAATTACCCAAAACAAAGGAGACAACCTTCACAAAACACCTTCGATGACAGTATCCAAGTACGTTGTTTCCAAAACGCCTAAAGTTTGGTGCCTACAAACGTTGCCTTCAACGGCGACAGTCCGACCAACACCAGCACCAACCTAGAGATTCATAACCTTCCACCGTCATCCAACACATCACTTATGTACACCATTGGTCATATCATATTTATAGTAATAAGGAGCATATCCTACATAATCAAGATCATACATCTATTATAGATTCATTTCTCTCAATACAAATAAACCAACCTTTAATGAACACAATGGTTCTCGGTAGGAACACAACGAAGCAAGATGTGTGGGTAGGAGGAACAATCGCGAAAACGCCTCCTTTTCCTCCTCCGGCGGCACTTTGGCGGCACTCCGGCAACAATGGGTGGGTGGGAGGAAGCGTAGTTTTCGCGTATGCACGACGGCACTACGGCGCCACTCCGACAGCAATGGGTGGCTGGATGGAGGGAAGACGAGACCGTCTAGGTTTCGCGTACGAACGGCGGCACTCCAGCGGCACTAGATGGCTGGGTGGAGGGAAGACGACATCGTCTAGGTTTTGCCTAAGCACGGCGACACTACGATGGCACTCCGGTGGCACTCCAGCAACAATGGGTTGCTCGGTGCAGGGAAGACGTGACCGTCTAGGTTTCAGGTACGAACGACGACACGTACTTCGGCGGCAGTGGTGGTTGGGTGGAGGGAAGATGAGTCTCTCTCTCTAGTTTTTGCGCTCAAAGGTTCTCTCTCAAATGTTCCTCAGATTGCAACTCTGAAAATGAGAAAACGAACCCAAAATTTGAAACCTTCCCCAATTCTCATTGCCACATCATTCTTATATTAAAAACCCATTTTTCACGTGCACCACTCACATTTTAACACGTGTCCCGTGTCAAAATATTGTCAAATGTTTTTATTAAAGTATCGTTTTCCTTTTTTTATCTAAGGGTTAAATATGTTTTTAGTCCCTAAACTATTGACCGTTTCTGGTTTTCGTCCCTCTTCCAAAGTAAGGTACAATTTAGTCCTCAATCTTTAAAAAACGTTCGTTTTAGTCAAAAAAACGAACGTTTTGAGGACTAAAACGAGGACTAAAAACAAAATTTTGAGGACTAAAACGAACGTTTTTCTAAAGAATGAGGACCAAATTGTACCTTACTTTGGAAGAGGGACGAAAACCAGAAACGGCCAATAGTTTAGGGACTAAAAACATATTTAACCCTTTATCTAATTCAAATAAATTTCTATCCATTCATTTCTTTTATTTTCTTTAATTTCATTTTCTTATTCTCTTATCATTTAATCCAAATAAAGTGTCTTACAAAAACTTTTTCATAGAAATTATCCATTGACAAAATCTCTAACCATGGAAAATGGAAGACCCAAAGAAAAAATATCAATGAAATTTTTTAAAAACTTTATAAGTTTTTAGCATTATGTTGACCCTAAAGACATACATATATGTATGGTAATCGAGAGTGCACAACAAAATCCACCAAAATTTCATACTCTTGTGTGGCCTTCTTATTCACACCATTCCTTAATAGTTGATTATTCACACCATTCCTTAATAGTTGAGGAAGAAACAACCACCAACATGTGCTAACCAAGAACACCATCACAAGAGGCCTCGACATGGCATGGTGTAACCGCCACCCACGACGAAGAGCCACCTTCTTCAGAGCCACCTCCACCGTCGTGCACACACCATGAAGCATGAAAAAACACGTCACTTCCCACGTGGGAGACACACGTGTGAGGTAATAGTACATTAACTCATGCATAAGCCTAGAAACAAGGAATGTAGCCAACATGGCAACTGACGTGGCATACGTTGGGTTGAAAACATAAGTAAATATATGACATACAAGATTGTATATGGTTGGACGTAGAATACGAGTAATCATAAGGCTCCATCTATGGCCCCAAAAATCTTGAAGGGACATGCAAAGATAGGGTTTGTTGAATAGTGGTTCTATTTGAAAGCCAAAAACGGTTTGAACAGTGAAAGTTATAAAAGCTAACACGATCTCTAAGCCTAGGTACAAGTAACAATAATAGAGAACTGATATAAAATGAGGGTTCATATATTGAATGTAGGAAGAAACATGTACAGTGATGCCTAAAGTAAGCACTTTTCGGGCCAAAAGCCATTTGGGTAACTTTTGGGTGTTGTTTGGATGTTGTGTGGGGTTGATGGGGAGGGAAGCTATGGAGATGAAATGGAGAATGTTTTGGGGTGATTGAGCAAAAGGGCCTTGGTTGAAGGAGAAAAGAAGGAGTTTGAAAGTGCCAAGCCAAACAAGGAATAAGGAAGTGTAGCCAACTAAGTTAGGTGAAGAGATTTTGAAGGGAAGAGTGATGAAGAGGTAAATAATGGGAATCAAAGACAGAAGTTTGAAGAAGCCCTTTGGTATTCTTGAAGTTATGTAATAGCAATAACATAACCCTAACATGGCTAAAATCCATACTTTCATGAACTTTTCAATTTCATTCTCCATCTCCTTCATTCAATCTATGTCATGAGTCACTAGTACAAAATGTGCCTTTAAACTCGCACAATAGACATTTGTCTAGACAAAACCGGTGCCTATCTAAACGCGGTGGCAGATCCGCAATTATGGAAGCCTTATAGGCCTCGATTAATACATAACCGGTGAATATAAATGATACAACTTCGGTTGCACAGGAAACTGGTGCCTAAACATCACCTAACTTACCACCTTTTCGTCTGAAACGGTCTGAAATTTGTATGAAAAGGTCATATTGCCTCAGTTTATGGCAAAACCAAAGCAGAAAGGCCTGACTCACCTGCAAAACGCGCCTACAACACGTCAAGTCAGTCAAGTTGAGCGTTCTGGCGAAGAGAAACGACCTCGGGTAACATTGCAACCGAGGTCCAAACGTGTTTAGGCCTCAGTTATTAGAACAACCGAGGCATATAAGCTTTGTTTTTTGTGTTTCTGCATCCACTGTAACCTTTGGGTCTTTGAGCGATAACAAGTGAGAGAAAAGAATTGGGGGTTGCAAACTAAGCGAAGTGGAGAGAGGAGGCTAGTTGGTTTGGTTGCGCCTTTATCACCTCCACGGGATCGGGTGCCGCCACGACCGGATTGGGATCTCGTGCCGCCCGACCACCACGCGGATCACAGTGCTCACTGCCATCGTCCTGTTCAACAGTGTAGAGGCTGGTGGAGAACAGGAAGAAGAATACCAGGCGGGAGAAGCGGAAGCCAAGGACCCTAGCGGCGAAAACCTTGGCGGCCCCATTCCTTTCTTTCCCTCTCTGTTCCGCCTTCTATTTTCACCTTCCACCTCACCACCATGTACCTACCTTTCTCTTCCTCTCTTCTTCTTCTTTTTGATTTTTATTTTTCAATTTTATTTTCTTTTTTTTTTCAAGCTGGGTTGAGTGTGGGAACGAGAGAATGGGAAGGAGAAGACTCGGAGGGTTAAGCCAAGGAGGCAGTCACGGAGCTCCGAGAACAAGTACCTGAGGCCGGGGACTCTTGCTCAGCTTCGCTGCTCCAAACTTTTGAAATCCAAGCTCGAGTCTCTGGATGGTCCACACACTCCTATCACTGCCTGAAACGGTGTCGCGTATAGGGTTTTTCTTCATGAAGAAAGAAAGGCTTCCAAAATTTATGCTGTTTTCACTTTGCGTGACGAAAGCCTTTGCGTGCTAAGATGAAAAAGAAGAGAAGATGAAAGCCTTTCCAAAATTTTTGATCTTGCTTGGTTCTTCTGTTTTGGTTAATCGGTTCATGTCTTTACTTTCCTGCTTCTTTGAGGAATTGAGTCTTCTTGGAGGAATGGAGGAATATGACCTTTCACTTTCAGTTTCAGAGAATGTACAACGCTTAGGGGAAGATGAAACACTGCCGAGATTTGATGCCATGCCATACCTTTCTTTTTTTTTATTTTCCCTTCTTTTCAGCTTTCAGTTGTTACAAGGCCTCTTCATGCCTTTCCCACTCTTGTACTTTCTTTAACTCTTGTCTTCCTTCAAGACAAGTGCATATAATTATGGTTCTCAGTAAAAAAGTGGAACTTGCTTTGCCATAAACCTTTTAGTTTATCCCTTGTTGGAATCTCTCACCTCTTGCTCCTCCATCTCCACTTTCAGACTTACGTAAGTGAAGCTTCTTTCCTTATTTTCTTTCGAACTATTTGGCAAGTTCAATGAAGGATCCAATGGAGGATCAAGTGAAATCTAGGAGGGCCCTTCAGAGATCAAAAGATCCTCGCCCACCTTTCTTTTTTACATTTTTCACTTAATCTTACATATACTTTTAGTTGGAAGAAAGAACACAGTAATTTTGGATGCCTTATATTTGGTCCTCTGATTACTGCTATTCAGGTTGTAGCCTCACAGGACTGGCCGGAAGTAACAAAGTATCATTGAAAAAAAAAAAACCACCTATTGCCTCGGTTGACCAACAACCGAGGCCAAAAGTTTGACGAAAAAAAACAAAAAAAAAACACTCTCTACTGTCTCGATTGGATGTGAATCGAGGCAAAAACATACATTTTTTTGTCTCAATTCACAACCGAGGCAAAAAAGCTTACCACTTTTTACCGTCTGTATATACCTCAATTGCAGAACCGTTGCGGAAAGACAAAAATAACCGCTGTTGTTTCCCTTTTCTAGTGAGTTTCTGGAATTCTAAGAAAATGTTGACTAATATTATTGATGGGAGGATCATTATTCATTCAAACATTTTCTTAATCAAAAACATGTGGAAGAAAATAATTTATCATGTTGGTGTAAAATAAAATATAAAACGTGATGCTCAAGAATATTTTATATTCGAAAGTAAACGAGTGGTTCTATCATTCATGTTTTTACTAAATCATGTGTTCTTTTCAATCTGTCATTGTCGCCAGAGACAAATTTATTGACTTTCTTATAATTGTCTGCAGAAAGCAAAATGTAGCACGTGCTTCTTCTTTTCTCTTCCCATATTCTCCCAAGAAAATCAAATTTAATGTTATTATTTATTATAAGTATTGTATCTTTTAAGTGTGATGAAACTTCATTATGATTTTAATTTTTAAAAGTATTTATGTGAATATAAAAGAAAAAAATATTTAAATTGTATTTTATCTTAAATTTTAAATTTTAAATGATAGGAGACTATTGAGTATGATAATAACATCAATTTTTTTTCCTCTAATGTCAATGAAAATGATAAAAATGTGAAATGTCAATGAAAATGATAAACAATGTTATAGATCTACAATGATAGGTCTCTCATACACATTTTCTTTTGAAGAGCATGTGATATTGAAGATTTGAAAGACTCAAATAATATTAATTTTATGTAAATAATTTATGGATGTTATAAAAGTTATAGACAATAGACATATAGTATATCGAAATTTGGTTCAATCATTCACATTATTAAAATATGATTTCTTAAATGTGACACAATAACTTATTAAAATATGTTTTTCCCTTGTCTTCTGAGTTGGCGTTGTTTATTTGATATCAGATTAAAAAAAAGTCTAACAATTAGTTTCGATGGGAGGAAAATTTAGCTTTAAAACTAGAGATGACAAGACTAACAGAATAAAAAAAAAAAAACTAGTAATCTTCCTCGACGTAAAAATTACCAATAAAAGGATACTATTTATCACTGTAATTTCCGAAGAGAAAAAACATTTTTTTATCAGCAATTGAAAATAAAAACAATCTAATGGTATAACCTTAGAGTCCTTTATTTGAAAAGAAAAACTGGAAAAAGTTGGAAGCACTTCTCAAATGAAGGAGACTTTGAGCTTAGAAAAGTTGAAGATACAGAAGCCTAAATTACAAATAAAATGTCTTCTAGTAAAAGAAAAATTAATTATAACTCACTATTATTGGAGTAATCACTTTATAAAAACCTTGAAATATACAAAGTGTTGGGATCAAACCTTGAAAAATCATTGCAAAAAGGAAGAAAAAAAAGTGGGTAACTAATTAAGCAT